AAAAAATTAAGCCAGGCTCAGTGGCTCAGCCTGTAATCCCACACCTTTGGGAGGCTGAGGTGAGTGGACTGCCTGAGCCCGCGGGTTCGAGATCCGCCTGGGCAGTGAGACCTCATCTCTACAATAAATAAAAAAATCAGCTGGGTGTGGTAGCGCATGCCTGTAATTCTGGCTACTTGGAAGGCTGAGGTGGAAGGATCGCCAGAGCCCAGCAGGTCGAGGCTGTGGTGGCCGGGAGCAGCCACTGCACTCCAGTGTGGACGACAGAGTGAGATTCCAACTCAAAAAGAAAAAAAAAATTAGCTAAGTGTGGTGGCGCGTGCCTGTAGTTCCAGCTACTTGGAAGGCTAAGGCAGAAGGATTACCTGAGTCCAGCAGGTCAAGGCTACAGTGGCCGAGAGCATGCCACTGCACTCCAGCCTGGGTGACAGAGTAAGACTCTAACTCGAAAAAAAACAAAACAAAAAAAAAAAAAAAATGGGGGCCCTAATCCAACATGGCTGGTGTTTCTACAAAAAAGAGAAATCTGGACACAGACAGACACACAGAGAAGACAAAGTGAAGATGGGGCAAGGTGGCCACAAGCCAGGCACGTCTGAGGTCACCAGAAGCTGGAGAGGCAAGGAAGGACCCGTCTCCTACAGACTGCCTTAGAGGGAGCCTGGCCCTGCCACCTTGATTCTGGACTTCAAGCCTCCAGAGCTCTGGGACAATACATCTCCGTTACTCTAACCCACTGTCTAACATACTCTGCGAGCCCTAGGAAACTAACACACAGACACTCAAGCTTTTTCTCCATCTGACACACAGGCAAGTCATCAGCGATTGTCTCATGTGTGGCCTGGGGAACGCCTCCACTCCAGTGCAGCTGTTGCTGCCACACATCAGGTCACATGGTCATGAGGCTGACCTTCGCCGCAGGGGCCGTGTGTGAAGACCAGATGGCCCTCCGGGAGCCCCGACCTCCTCAAGTGTGGGCTATATCTGTGTCTACTGCTATCGCCCCGCAGGCAGGGACAGGGTCTAAGTCCTCGCCCACCCCCAGCCTTGCCTACCAAAGCCTGGCATGTGGGAGGCCTTGGGAAATGTGTGTTAAATAAACGAATGGCTACAAACTCAACCATATTCATCAAGGTTGGAGACAACCCTAGCCCTCAGTCAAGCATCTGGGGTCACCACACCCCGGGCCCTGGCCACCTGCCTGCGAGACCTCAGGAGCATCTCACCTCTCCCACAAGTGCTGGGCTTCTATGGACCTGATGCACCTCCAGTTCTCTACACGTGCTGCCCCCCAAGCTGTTCCCTGACCAGGGTGTAGCCCCATTCCAGCCCAGATGGAAATTAAGCTATCCTGTAACACCTGCCCAGTGTATACTCTTCCGGGAAGCCCTCCCAACCTGCCACCTGATGTTAGGGCCTGCTCTCAATCACATTACAGGTTACCTAATACTACAGCCCCCACACTCCCCTCCACAGCCCATGCAGCCCTCAGTGAGGAAGATTAAGGCATCTGAGGCATCTCCACGATGTGCCCCAGGTCACACAAGGCCTCGGATCTGCCTGCAAGATAAGCACAGGAGCCTGGCAAAGCCAATGCAGCCGCTCCCTCCACTCTCCGCCTGGCTTCTCCAGCCTGTGTTCTTGCCCTCCTCACGGGTCCCACTCGCCTGTGAGCTCACTGACCCTGGAGGTTTACCCTTACCTCAGGACACCTGACCCACATGGATGCTCCCTGCCCATCACCAGCACCCCGCCCTCCTTTTCCTCACCATCAAGATAGTTTTGCCCAGGAACCCTAAGGCCACAGGGTCGGGATGGACCCCTATGATGACCCAACCCAGAACCCAGCCTGCCGCCTGGCTTCCTGCTTAGATGAAATCAAACCTTAGCCGGGTGTGGTAGCGCGCCCCTGTAGTTCCAGCTACTTGGAAGGCTGAGGCGGAAGGATCGCCGGAGCCCAGCAGGTCAAGGATGCGGTGGCCGGAGCGGCCACTGCATTCCAGTGTGGGCGACAGAGTGAGACTCCAACTCAAAAAAAACTCAAAAAAAAAACGAAATCAAACCACTATCTTCCTGGGTCTGACACTCAAACCAAAAGCACCCTGCTGGGGCTGAGGAAATGTGAAGCAAGTGTTTCGTGCCTATGAGGTCTCCTTTTGGGGTGATAAAAACATTTTGAAACGTGAGTGGTAGTGGCAGCCGCACAACACTGTGACTGCACTAAATGCTGCTAAATTGTTTACCTTCGAATGATTACTTTCATGTGATATGAATGTTATTTCAATTTTTAAAAATAACTTATGAGACAAAGTATGACAGACTGATCCCTGTTAGATGCTAAAACTTGCTTTTTCTTTCTTTCTTTCTTTTTTTTTTTTTTTTTTGAGTTGGAGTCTCAGTCTGTCACCCAGACCGGAATGCAGTGGCCGCTTCCGGCCACCGCAGCCTCGACCTGCTGGGCTCCGGCAATCCTTCCGCCTCAGCCTTCCAAGTAGCCGGAATTACAGACATGCACTACCACACCTGGCTGATTTTTTGATTTATTGCAGAAATGAGGTCTTGCTGCCCAGGCAGGTCTCGAACCCGTGGGCTCAGGCAATCCACTCACCTCAGCCTCCCAAAGGCGTGGGATTACAGGCTGAGCCACCGAGCCTGGCTTTTTCTTTCTTTTTTTTGAGTTGGAGTCTCACTCTATTGTCCAGGCTGGAGTGCAGTGGCACACTCACAGCCACCATAGCTTCAACCTGCTGGCCTCAGGCCATCCTTTCACCTCAGCCTTCCAAGTAGATGGAACCACAGGCGCACGCCACCACATCCAGCTAATTTTTTAATTAATTGTAGAGACGAGATCTTGCCATTTTCCTCAGGTTGGTCTTGAACCCCTGCGCTCAGGCCATCTTCTAGCCTCCGCCTCCTAAAGTGCTGGGATTACAGGTATGAGCCACCACACCTAGCTTAAAATTTGTTTTTTTTTTTTTTTTTTGAATGCTGAATATAAGTCATCTGCCACCAGCTCAGAGAGAGACGCAAAACAAATGTTTTGTTAAAGAAATAAGAAAAGGCCGGGCTCAGTGGCTCAGCCCGTAATCCCATGCTTTGGGAGGCCGAGGTGAGTGGATTGCCTGAGCCTGCGGGTTCGAGACCCGCCTGGGCAACTTGGTGAGACCTCATCTCTACAATAAATCTTTTTTTTTTAATGAACCGGGCATGGTAGCGCGCACCTATAGTTCCAGCTTCTTGGAAGGCTGAGGCGGAAGGATCACCAGAGCCCAGCAGGTCGAGGCTGCGGTGGCCGGGAGCGGCCACTGCACTCCAGTCTGGGCGACAGAGTGAGACTCCAACTCAAAAAAAAAAAAAAAGAAAAGAAAATAAATAAGTAAGGCCAGGTTCAGTGGCTCAGCCTGTAATCCCAGCACTTTGGGAGGCCGAGGCAAGAGGACTGCCTGAGCACACAGACTGGAGACCAGCCTGGGCAACTTGGCAAGACCTCATCTCTACTATAAATAAGTAAATTAGCCAGGTGTGGTAGCGTGCGCCTGTTCCAGCTACTTGGGAGGCTAAGGAGGAAGGCTCGCTGGAGTCTAGCAGGTTGATGCTGGGGTGGTCGTGAGCATGCCACTGCACTCTAGACTGAATGACAGGGTGAGACCCCAATTCAAAAAAAAAAGAAAGAAATGAAAAAACTTGAAAATGGGAAGCAGAAATAAAATATGGTAGGTTGCAAAATATGATGCAAATATCATCACATTTCTGATAAATGTCAATTCCAAATCAACCCCTTGATGTGGCAACAAAAGAAAAAGCAAAGCGCCCTGAGTGACCCAGGTGGGCTCTGACTCAGAGCTTCTATGTCCTCCAATTTACCCCCATCTATCCACTCCAGATCACCCCTTGAGCTTCACCACATGCTTCATGAGCTGATCGGGCCTTGAAGCCTAGGAGGTACTGGCCAAAATGAAGGAATGTCAACAGGAGCCAGCATGACCCAGGGTTCCTGCAGGCAGCCTGTCCACCCTCCACGAGAGCCAGGACCTTGCCTGCCTCATGCCCACTGTCCTCTAGGACAGTTTGCATTTGTTGAATGAATGAGTAAACAAATGAACAAACAAATAAGTTGCCATAATGCTGTGAAGAAAACACTTGGTCTATTTTCCTCCTACTTAGGTTCTTTCTGATCCTAGATCACTAGATGTAGAAGGGGGAAACAATCCCCTTGTGAGAAAAGAAATGTAACATCAGAAATTAATCTTCCCAAAGCAAGAACATTTCAAACATCACAACGCATGCCTTGTTCCTTAAGTAGCTGATGTCCTGGGAAAAGATAAGATTTCTCCAAGAACAAACAAAACTTGCTGACTTTCTCGTGATCCTTGTTACAGATCTCCCTGGAATGTCACAGACACTGAATTTGGATGGTTACATAGGACTTGATAAAACTGTGACTGCTGTGAACATTAAATAATGGTTTAATGGTTTAAAACGTTTATCTGTTGACTGGGAGGATCCACAGTGAGGACACAAAATACTGTTATCTAGTTCAAGGTACCATGTGCTCTGAGTGAAGGGGGAGGAGGCGGGTACGTGATTAAAGTGTTCAGAAAGCATTTCCCTCTTATCTTTCCAGTGCCCTCAAAATTTTCTAAGAAAAGAGCTTCTCTGCATTTCCTGACATTGAAACACCCACCAGAAGGTCTGGTTTCTTGGTGATTATTTCTCTGTAGTTTTCACTCATTCATTTATTCAGTCAAGGTATCCTGGGGCTCCTTAGGTGCCAAGGCCCAGGTAGAGGCAAACAGCATGAGAAATACCCAGGAGCCTGGACATTCACAGTCTGGGGGAGTATGGGGCTGTCTCAGGGGAACTCAGGAGGGTCCTGGGGGCAGAAGAGGGAGCAAGTGGCTGCCTGCAAGAATTAGAAAAGGTTTCTCACAGGGAAAAACATTTGAGTTGGGGTCTTAAAAGTTATGTAGGAATTTACGAAGCTGGTCAATATGAAGTACATTCTGGGCATTCACTCATTCATTCATTCAACAAAGTCTTCCTGCCAGGCTCAGTGGCTCAGCCTGTAATCCCAGCACTTTGGGAGGTCGAGGTGAGTGGATTGCCTGAGCCTGCAGGTTCGAGACCCGCCTGGGCAACTTGACGAGACCTCGTCTCTACAATAAATCAAAAACTAGCTGGGCATGGTAGCGCGCGCCTGTAGTTCTGGCTACTTGGAGGCTGAGGTGGAAGGATCTCCAGAGCCCAGCAGGTCGAGGCTGTGGTGGCCGGGAGCGGCCACTGTACTCCAGTCTGGGCGACAGAGTGAGACCCCAACTCAAAAAAAAAAAAAACAAAGTCTTCCTTAGACCTCCCTTGTCCCAAGCTCTTTGCTGGGTGCTAGGGACTTGAGGGACATCACATATGGACTCGGGTCTCAAGGAACCCCCATTCAGCACTATTCAAGTCTCACCACAATCTCTCCAAGTGGTTCTCAAGCAGGATGGATCCCCCGCCCCCACATTTCCATGGATACTTTAGAATGCCTGGAGACATTTTTCTTTTTTTTTTTTTGAGTTAGAGTCTCACTCCATCACATGGGCTGGAGTGCAGGGGCACGCTCATAGTCACCCCAGGGTCGACCTGCTAGGCTCTGGTGATCCTTCTGCCTCAGTGTTCCAAGTAGCCAGAACTACAGGCACATGCTACCATGCCTGGCTAATTTTTTGATTTATTGTAGAGATGAGGTCTCGCTGCCCAGGCGGGTCTCGAACCCGCGGGCTCTGGCAATTCACTCACCTCAGCCTCCCAAAGGCACGGGATTACAGGCTGAGCCACCGAGCCCGGCAACTTTTTTTTTTTTTTAATTGTAGAGACGAGGTCTTGCCAAGTTGCCCGGGCTGGTCTCAAAACCGCAGGCTCGGACAATCCATTCGCCCTGGGTTCCCAAAGTGCTGGGATTACAGTCTGAGCCACCAAGCCCGGCCTGGAGACATTTTTCATTGTCACAACATTCATGGGAAGGGGGTTCTGTATCTAGAGGGTAGAAGGCTAGGGATGCTGTTAAACATCCTATAATACCCAGGACAGACCCACAACAAAGAATTATCAAGTCCATAGTGTCACTAGTGCCAAGGATGAGAAGGGAAAACTTATGTGTCGACTTCCCATTGTCCATTCTGTACCCAGCGTGTGCACACACAGCCTGGAACAAAGCAAGCACTCAACAAACACCTACTACACAAGCACACAAACATAACAGAAGCTCCAAGTCAGTGCTGTTTCATGGACTCTGACCACAGGCCAGACCCTGAGTTAAACACAACACAAAAGGTAGCTCCTGTGATCCTCCCAACAACATGAAAATATGTATAGCTGCTATCCATTTGCAAGCCAGGACTAGCAAACACCTAGCACTTAATACATGCCAGGCACTGATTTAAGCACAATCTTCAACAGGACACGATGGCTCATGTCTATAATCCCAGCACTCTGGGAAGTAGAGGCAAGATGCCTAAACCCAGGGATTCCAGACCAGCCTGGGCAATTTGGCAAGACCTCGTCTCTCCGATAAATAAAAAAACTAGCCAGGTGTGGCAGTTCTGGGAGGCTGAGGTGGAAGGATCACCTGAACCAAGATGGCTGAGGGTGCAGTAGCCGTGATCATGCCAGGGCGACACTGCACTCCAGCCTGGGTGACAGAGTGAGACTCCAACTAAAAAAAAAAACCCAAAAACAAAATTACAATTCTCAGCTGGGCTCGGTGGCTCAGTCTATAATCCCGCACTTTGGGAGGCTGAGGTGAGTGGACTGCCTGAGCCCGCGGGTTCGAGACCTGCCTGGGCAACTTAGCAAGACCTCATCTCTACAA